TTTATGTGTGTGAAAAACTCAAGTGAGAAACCAAGCAACCAAGTTGTAATTGAAAACTGAAACATTTAAGTTGAGTTTGGAAATTGTTGCATTTATAAATTTGCATTTTGGTTTTAGTTGAAGTGGCTTTAGAGACACTCACTTATTATTTATTTAGAAAGGCTTGAAGGAAGAGTATATTTAAATATTCCAGCCTGCATGATTGTTTTTAATCACTTAGGAAGACTGATAACTTTGTGGTGACATGGAAAACTTGAGTAATTTCTTGAGGAGGGAGGTTGTTGCATTGTTCTTTCTAACCACAAAGTTTCTTAGTTTTAATATTCAGGACAATAAACAAGCAAGATTTCCGAAGGGAAGGAGCATAGTAGGATAATTTTAGCTTGTTGGTCGGCAGGACTGTCCTGCAAGCCAACACCTTTTAAATCTAGGAGAGAAAGTTTCAATCGGGATATTGACACTGGAAGTCAGAAAATATGTTTTATCTTAAGTCATATCCTCAATGTGCAGATTAATGAAAGAATTTGAAGGCTATAGTGATGTAGTATGATGCCATTTATATTCTGCAGTGAGTCGATGTGACGTAGGTAAAAGTAATTTCGTGCATTTTGTAAATTCTGTTCGGTGACACTGTAACCATTTAGAACATTGCGCGATTCAATGAGGACATTGACCGGACTGTCCGGGGAGTATGTGACATTCGACCAGAATGGTCAAAATGCAGTCTCTGCAGAATTCGGTATTTTAGCAGCAAGCCTTCCGAATTGGCGATTTAGAACGGATAAGGACGTTATTTGAACGATTAGCCAAACGGTGAAGGCTAGAAGATTCTGGAATTCTAATTTTTAAAAATTCGAATTATGACGTCATATTTCTGAGAAACGTCAGAGACGGCCATTTTAGCTAAAATAGCAGAAAGAAACAGAACAACTTTATCTGCGATTACGAACAGTACGAAATCGAGACTAAAAAAAACAACAACGAACTATAGAACAGCAGAGGACGTTCCGAGTTGCAACTATTGTGCTGTTACAATAGTTGCAAGGCCGTTGCGAGCAACGGTGAAGGGTAAAACCCAGCCTTCCGAGTTATTGTGAACTGGATATTAAGAAGCTTGATTTACCGGATTCAAGAATCCGGAAGGGTCTCGGGACGTGGACTTTTATGAACTTATATTGAATTTTAGCATCCGTCATGTCCTGACTTGAATTTAATTAAGATCTTAATTCGTTTTGACAAGAATGAGGAGCTAGAAGTAGAGGGGAAAGGGTTGATCCATCTTCGATGGAGATGATGATTTTTATCTACTGAACAAAAACAATAGTAATATGATAAGTAGTAGCCCTGTTTTTAGGAGTGACCTCGTGGTCTGGGGATACTGAGACCCAGCCATGAGCTCACTAATTTTGCATGTAATTCAGTTAATTTGAGCGTTCTGGTCGAAGCCGGAGAGCAGTAACGTTTTTGTCGACCCGATGTAGGAAAGACCACCGAAAAGTACTGGCTTGGTAGAGACGGTGAAAAGCATGCAAAGCTCTGTTTAGACGCTAGCCAGTCGTCTTAAGACTTAGTTTTGTTATCCGTCGATATGTATCTTCCGGGCGAATGTTACAATTGAAATAAAACGAGGTGTCCCACAAGGAACGGTACTTGGTCCGTTGTTGTTCAATATTTATGTTAATGACATACAAGAGCGATTATATGAGGGTTGTACTTTAGTTCAATATGCTGACGACTGTATGGTTTTTTCCTCTTCTATAATTTCTGAGGATGCTTTGAATCGATTGCAAAAATCACTCAATAATCTAACGGAATTTTTTGCAGAGAACCAATTGAATCTGAATGCATCTAAATCGGAATTTATAACATTTTGTCAAAAAAATGATAGCAAAAATGTGGATACTGATAAACTAGTAATTAGTGGGCATTATGTAGCCAAAAAATCAGAATGCAAATATTTAGGCATAATTCTTGATTCAAGTTTATCTTTTCATGCTCAAATCAAAACAATTCTCCAAAAAATGGCCCAAGGGATTAAAACTATTGATACAATTGGACAACAACTGCCGACATTATCATTAGTTGCCTTGCTTCATTGTCTTGTTTTATCACATTTAGATTATTCAGCAATTTTTTTACAACAAATTAATGCTACTTTGATGCTATCTCTGGGGAAACAGTTGAACTGGGCGCTAAAAAGAACATATTTCAGATCGAATTTTAAATCTTCTTCCCTTCTTCGCATTAGCAAATCGTTCATTGGAATCGAGAAAAGAATTGAGTTAAAGTGTATAACATACTTATACCAATATCTTACAAACAAAAAGAAGGCTTTTGAAAATACACTGAGACTACCGACTGCCAATTATAGGCTCAACGAAAGAACGAAACAAATTATTTTTGACAAACATTGTTCGACTGCTTCTCTACAAAAATCATTTTTTCATTTGACTTCTAAAAAATGGAATTCACTGCCCATAATTTTGCGCAATTTAGAAAAATCGAAAACAGAATTCAAGAAAACATTGAAAGAATTTTACGTGAGTGAATTGAGAAACAATCCTATATGTACTAATACAAATACGTGGCGTGATTACCGTTTTTGCTAGTTCTATATTTTTTAATTCAGTTTAATTTTTCACACATTGCTTGAAAGAGAAACTGTATATACTCTGCATATACGTTGTATAATTGGACTATCTGTAAAATTGTTTGTAAAGTTTTATTACCAGCTTGTTCCTAATTCTTAAATCTTTAATTTTCTATAGTATCCGAAACTTCATATACTTTAATCAACCAATTTCCGAACTGTAACCGATTTTGTTTTTTTTTTGTTTTGTTTATTGCTTGTTTTCTGATGTTTTGTTTTTGTTTGATGTAACCAATGAATTTAACCAATTTTATTATTTACACTTTGCTACACTGATGCCTCGGCTTTTTATTGTATAGTAATTCAAGTGTTCTTTCTTCTTCTTCTTCTTGTAGTTGGGTACTGTGAGGGTATTCTAAGTCAAATGCGAATGCTGAAATGCTCTTAGTTTCTAAGATGTTACATTTGTTATGTTTTTCTAAAATTGTTCGAGGAACTTAGATATAAGAGACTTCACTAAATTTGAAGTTCCCATGTCTATAGTGAGGCTCTGTCAGGGTATTCCCATGAGTTTTCGAGATCTGACGTTTTTTGCGATTTTTTCAATAAATTTCAGAAATTATGTTTATTTTTTATTTTTCGACATTTAAATTTCTAAGTCAAATGCGAATGCTGAAATGCTCTTAGTTTCCAAGATGTTACATTTGTTATGTTTTTCTAAAATTGTTCGAGGAACTTAGATATATAAGACTTCACTAAATTTGAAGTTCCCATGTCTATAGTGAGGCTCTGTCAGGGTATTCCCATGAGTTTTCGAGATCTGACGTTTTTTGCGATTTTTTCAATAAATTTCAGAAATTATGTTTATTTTTTATTTTTCGACATTTAAATTTCCCAACCATCTAGCTGGGGGCAGTGAGAGAACCCCCAGAGGTTGCGAATCTTGCCCCCAAAAACATTACTGCTCAAATCTTTGTAGTTTTCCAGATATGACGCTTTTTGTGATTTCTTTCAAAAATGTTTCAGAAATATTATTTTTATTTATTTGAAGATTGAAATTCCTAACTCTGTAGTTGGGGGATGTCAGAGTACTTACAGGGGTTGTGAATCTTGCGTCTGATTGTGACTGCTGAAGTCTTGGTAGTTTTCGAGATATGACGTCTTCTATGGTCTTTCAAAAAAAATTGAGAAAACTTAAGCTTAAAGTTTTTCACAGTTTGAAATTCCAACGCTGTAGTTGGATACTGTAAGATTACTCTCAGGAATTGCAAAGTTTGTGTCTGAATGCGATTGCTCAATTGCATTAGGTTTTCGAGATAAGACGTTTCTTAGTTCATTTTTTAATTTTTTTTTTTTAGAAAACTTAGGTAAAAATATGTCAAAAGTTTTTATGATTTTGAAAAAATTTGTTTAAAAAAACTTTGTTTAAAAAACCTTAAAACATTTGAAATTACGAATCCTGTAATAGGGTGCTGTCAGAGTATCTTTAAAGAATGCAGATCTTATTTCCAATGTATGCGATTTTTTATGAGTTTTTGAAATAAGTGAAAATTATAGATGCATTTGTGGCAAAATGTTCCGATGATAGATGGCCGGGCTTATTGTGATTAAAAAGTGCAGAAGAATCTTTAGGCAATCAATTTTGAACGCTCTTTTGAAGCGCAAAATTTCACCTCCACTCATATTCCGCTTGTTTTCGAGCCACGATACCTCCACATAACAGATAAGAAGCCAGGTGGTTTGATGCTTATTCTATAGGCAGTTGGCAGGCAGTTCATATGCGATGTGTTAGTAGTTGACTCCCTAGCCATTAGTAGAGTGAGCACAGCCTAAGTTTGTAAACCTGGAGGCGGAAGGTCGCAAAATTGATAATCATAGAGGTTCATTTAATGATTGATATCATTTTTAACCAATAGCCTTTGGACTCGAGGGTGCCGACGGCCCGGCACAGATATAGAAATAACTCATGTAAGAACCTGAGCATGCGTACCGAGGAGCCAAGTGTCTGCAGTTTTCTTAAGCGCAGAGTACAGGCTGCGAACGCTGCGTGCTTACTCGGTACTATATATGGTTAGAGGCAAGAGAACGTAAACGCTATCTAGTATAAGTATCTGATAGACCTGTAGCCGCATAGCAGATCAATGTTTTCGAGTTTCTTACAGCTCCGGTTTAATCTGTGCAGGTGTTAGTTTGCTTAATCTGGTTGGCTTGATTCCCAACCATCTGACTCTTTCATTTCCTGAAAGTTATACTTTTATGCTTTTTTTTGTTCCAATGGTATTTTAACTGGGTGAAATGATGAAGGACTAGCGTAGTAACTTCGGTTACCATGATAATGTCTGACCTGATTTTTACAAAAAAATCTATGTATCAGTATTTTGAACTTCGTCTCCTTAAATTGAAGTTGTACAGAAAAGTATGGAAGAATTGCTGTGCCCGGTGGATCACATCAAATTTGATATAGAGTATGCCCTTGAACATCAAATTGGAGCAAAACCTCTTCCATTCCCCGGAATGGACAGTGAGTATGCTGCTCGACAGTTTCTTCTAAAATAAGACGTAAAGAAACATAGAATTAAGAACGTTTTACTTTAAAAAAAGCATTTTTTCCTAAAACAAGTTTCCTCAAATAAGAAAAGTATGCCACTTGACAGTTAGTTCCTAGACAGTTTTTACTTGAGACGAAAACGTCGAAACTGATGATGAAAAATTTTAATTAAGCAGTAAATGACTCTCTTTGGTCATAATATCTAAATTTCTGTCGTTTAATTCGCTCCTTATATGTCATGCAGCCAGAATGCTGCGACACTGCAGTTAGACTTATATTGAGATCAGACGCGGATCTAGGAATTTCCCCAAGGGGGGGGGGGGGGCGGATTTTTTTTGTAGGTCGACCAAATTGATATTCTGAGCACTCACAGATCCCTATAAAGACGCTGTTGGCAAAAATATGTGCCCCGCAGGCAAAATTTTGAAAAACAGTTAAAAAATAGCGTTTTTTTGGCGAGCGCTCCCCCCTCAAAATTAGTATAGATTGGCGCCTTTAGAAAAATTTTAAGGTCAGTCAGCCAAAAATGGATATCTCAAAATAGAACAAAGGGGGGACCCTTTGGGTCGGCAGGGGGTCGAATCCCTGAGGGGGGTGGGTCTAAATCCGCTACTGATTGAGATAGTTTTTTCATTCTTCTTTTGCTTTTGCTTCAGTTCTCTCCCAAATGATATTATTCTGAATAATTGAAATACTGATTTCACATGCAAATCGCCGTACGATTAATTAATATCTTTTTTACGAAGATAGTATTTTCACCACGGAGTGGAAATTTGGAAAAGAGCCGAAAGTGCTGTAAATGAGGAAAACTTGTTTTTTTTTTACAAGCAGTAATCAATTTGAAATAAATGTAATTTTGTTAAAGAAACAATTAACTGTAAATTTTGATTATGGAGAACTTCAATTTATGTTTGTTTGCGCTTTAGAATCGATCGCTTTTGTGTGCAATTTCTTCAAACGAGGGCTTTGCAAGCGAGGTTTTCTCTGTCCGTTTCGCCATGTGCAAGGAGAACAGTCAGTCGTGTGTAAGCATTGGATCAGAGGTCTCTGCAAGAAAGGCGATGAATGCGAGTTTCTTCATGCTTATGACATGAGCAAGATGCCAGAGTGCTATTTTTATCAGAGATACGGTAGTATATATTTCATGACACTTTAGACCGCATTATTAATTCGGAACCTAGATTTTTTTTTGGTAAAAAATAGTCTGACAAAAACAGTGAATCATTTGACAATCGGATTTATTTGCAATCCCCCATTTTTTCAGTAATTTTTAACACTTCTATAGTTATACTAAATTGTTGGCAATATCGATGTCATTGAGCGGTTTAATCAGTCAAAAACGATTTTTAAGGCTAATTAGATTTTTTGTTTCGGTTGTTACGGTTGTTTTTTGAAGTTAACAAAATTTTGATTTCTGAAGTCCAACTGAATTATTTTGGGTGAATTGATTAACTGAGATCAGACTAGTTAACCGAAAATGATGGGATAAATTCGAATTTTTTGAATTTATTAATAAATGTTAAAAGTCAATGAAATGAACGAAGTGGCAGCATAAAAAACAACTAAAGTTTATCTGAAAGTAACCAAAAAACAGTTTTGTCTTTGAAACAAAAGTAGATATATAGCGTAGTCTTAAATGCATCTTCATCCTCCTTTCATTTTAAAAATTTCTTTGCGTTCTGTCACTTGAGTTTGCGAAGTGCAGCTTTACCTTTGTGTAAATCTGAGGTGTGAAAAATTTGTTTTGTAAAATTTCTGCGCTTCCAATTATTTTCTGCGCGTTGAAAATGATTATTAAATTAACCAGGCCTGCATTGTGAGATGTCTTTTTTCATAACGGAAATTCTACCTGTATCACGTGGCTGCTATTGTTGAGAGCGAGTTTAAGTTGTCCGTATAGGTTCTTAAGACAAACAGTTATTTTCAGGAGTTTGTGGGAATAGCGAGTGTCAATTTCTGCATTTAAACCCGGAGGACAGGACGAGAATTTGTTTGTGGTACGACCGGGGCTTCTGTAAACATGGCGCTGGGTGTAAAAACCGGCATCTCCGTAAAGTCATCTGCCAGAATTGGGTCATCGGATTTTGTCCAGAAGGACCAGAATGTAAATTTGCTCAGTGAGTTCTTGTGCTTACTATCAGCTGTTGACTGAATGTCGAATTGGACGTTAGAATAAAAAAAACTAAAAAAAAAACACTTTAGCTCCTGAGAGAAGATTATTATTTTAGGCTAGAGTGCATTAGTAAAGCTGTTTTGCGATGTTTGTATTCTATTTTGAACATTTTGGTTTTATGATCTGTCGGACTTTTGCTGGTCCCCAGTCGAGATTCTTGATATTTCAGATAATTAACATTAATTTTGCTGTATCTTCAATAATTTCAATATAGCTTTGAAAAGATATTTGGAAGTTGTTTTTTTTTTATCAGATAATATTGGTTGCATGTCTGTCGTCTTATTTCAGTCCTAAGTTTGACCTGCCAGTGACCAATGACACGATGCAGAAACCAGGCGGAGGAGTGGTCATCTGTCACAACTGTCGCGAAGTGGGTCACAAGGCCACCTTCTGCCCACAGAGACCAGGCAACAACCAGCACATGCAAAATCATAATAACAACCATGGAAATGCAATCGAAACTGGAGGAGGTAAATGTTGAGTGTGGGAGCTGTTTCCATTACCAAACAACCGATTGCTGGAAAATTATCAACCAATCAACGACCTTTTGACATTTTTTTTGAAAATCCATCGTGTTCACGCCTGTGTATTTTTTTCTTCAAATTGTTGAATACAGAATACTGATTGGCTGAGATAGTTTCCCGACATTGGGTCCTTGTAGCGGGAGGGATTCACGAATATGCATATTGGATTTTTAAACGTTCGTTATAGTGATGTGAAACGAAGGGCAAACAAAAGTAGTAAACCTATAGTTTTTGATACATGCTTAAACCAAATTGATGAAGCTCTCCGTCCAAATCTTCTGACTTGTTTGTAAGTTCAGTGGCCAAGTTTGGTCTGGGGTAGAAACTCTTCAAGTTAAATTACTGCTGCGCCTCACTCAACTGTTGGAGGAATGTGCGCAGTGTTTTATTCAAACCAGGGGTGTATCTAGGATTTTCTCGAGCGGCGAGGGTTTTGAAAGTTCTTCGCGTTGCAAGTGATTTTTGAAAAAAAAAAACAGCAGCCATTTTTGGATATTTTTATTTTCTTACTTAAAAATGTGTTTTTTTTTTCGGCGCGCGCTCCTATTTGAAAATTAGTACGTGGCACCTTAGGAAAATTTCATGGTACAGTGGCCAAAAAGTAATGTAAAACGGTAGCAAAGGGGACCCTTTAGGGTGGTGAGGGGGTTGACACCCCTAAATCCGCTACTGATTTAAACCGTTCCCAGAAACTCGACAGCTATTTATCTTTTTTAAACAAATACTTTCTTTCGCCCAGCAAAATTGCGACTTCTATATCTCTGCATTTATTTTTCTCATTTTTTCACCTATTTAGGTCTTACTGGTTTTTTGTTTTTTTTTTCGGAAAAAAAGTCTAAAAAATTGTTCACGCTGAAGTTACATTTTTCGCGGTGTGACTTAATATTTCTATTTCAGTTCAATTTGTTTCTTTTGTTTGAGAATCGTTGAACGTAGTTCAGACTCTTATATAGGTCCTGCTTATTTTTTTGATGTTTTTTTTTCAGATTTCTTGAAACTTGTTCAGGCTCAAATAAACTTTTTCGCGGTTTTCAAGTTCACTTCATTTTCATTGTTTAAAGGAAGGCAGACTCTATTATCGAACAACAAAAGTGTAGAGGCACGAAAAACGTGATCGATTTCTAGTTTCGATGGTGGAATTTTTTTCAGTTTTCTTAGCGGAATGAAAAATTTACCAATTGATCCAGTTCTCTCATATTGGGTTAATTGTATCAAAAAAGTGTTAATCATCAATTGTTCTTGAAATTCGAAGAGTCTTAAAGCCATCAAATTTTTTCTTCGAAATTTGATAGTTGAGATTTTAAAAAAAAGTCAGTATGTTTTCTGTTTACTTGCGTTCATTGACCCTTTTCCAGCTGTCTGTTGACTATGTTTAATGAAAGCAAGTTCTACAATATTTTGTCTCTTTTAGGTACAGGAAATCCTGTATATGGACAGCCGGGTGTGGGTCAGCCTCGTCCAGTGGTGTGTCATCACTGCTTCGAACCAGGACACAAGATAACAGTGTGTCCACGACTGATAGGGGGAAGTATCCAGACGGCAGACGGGGAACACATCCCGATATCCATGCAACAGGCGGCCATGAATCCTATATTCCATAAATTGCCATATGTGCCGAGGCCCATTGAGTCTGTGACCTGTTTTAAGGTACTGCTCTTTCTTTCTATACAGATGAAAGAGGTTTTTTATCTCAAATGCGATGGGGTGATTATTCTATTCTGTGTTTAACATTAAAAAATGTTTTGATAATTAGCTGAAAGCACGGTAACCGGTGCTAGATTTTTCAGCAGACTGATCTTTAAAGCAGACTCAATAGAATCTACAAGACAAAACGCTCAGTTCATACGCGGTATTGGTATGTAGCAACCGATTGCTCCGCTGCGCGTACACAAGGCACGAGAGATATACTGCACCGCGCCTTAATCTATGCTTGCCGCTAGTTTCGGCTATTCTGTTTTTTGAAGTTGATAGAGTTTTGTTGACAAAGTTTGAGATCAAGGTCTCAATTAGAGAAGCTTGACCCAAGGTCAAGAGTCTCTTTACGTGCGTCAATCAATTATGCGTCAGTTGTTTACGTTGGCCTGCTAAAAGACTCAGTTTTCACTTTTTATGCCAAAAAATTGTCCGCTTAAAAACCGGTGCAACCGTCCGTAACACTAAACTGTTTTTCTAAGTCCGAGGATTCCCAGAGATATGAAAACACAATTGAAGTTTTTTTTCTTTTCAGTGTGGTGACAAAGGACATTATGCGAACAAGTGTCCAAAAAGAGGTTTCAACCCAGCAGCTTTCCTCAGTGACTCAAGTGGAGGAAATCAGAATGGAACAGCATAGGAAAAATTATTTCAGATTTTCTTCAAATTGTATCTATCCCAAAATGCTGGGACAGCTTCGCCGCCTCCGCTTCAAGGCCAGATCAACAGTTGCCGACGGAGTGAAATAAAATTGAAGACAATGCAAATTGTTTCTAAAACTTGTTTTTTTAATTGATTGTTCGAACAAATCTATTGTTGGTGTCATTTCTTTTTGATAACAATATTAATTATAGTTTCGTGAGCGACATTGAAAGGTAACTAGTTTCAAGTTCACTATCATCCATGCTTGTTGAGAATGGGGTAATATTTCGAAGCACAGCAAAAGATAACTAGTGTTTAAATTTTTAAGTTAAGTGTCAATGAACGAAGTGAAGACACTTAATTGGGTCCTGCCGTTTTTTTATATTGTATTTTTAAGAAAAAATTTCAGGTCAAATTTGATTATTTTCTGTTGAGTTGCAATTTTTCTGTAGTTCAAGTTCAATTCATTTTAGGTTAAAATATTGAATTGGCTCAAAAAACTTGATTACTTAGATATTAAGAGTCAATGAAAGTAGTTCAGATTCTTATATAAATGCTTGTTTTTCTTCTACCTTTTTGTTTGATTAATTTTTAAGAGCAGTTTTTGTTTGAACAAAAACATTTGAAATTGATTTTTATTTTTTTTTTTTAAATTTGATTATTTTGATGTTTTTAGAAACGTTTTGAGTATTTTCAGGTGAAGTGTGTTGTTTTTAAGTCTTACTTGGTTTGGTTATTGCGAAATGGAAAAAAATGTTCGGTAGTTGTTTATCTTTGTCTTATCTGAAAAAATGTGTGAAGTAGTTTTTTTTTCAGCAGTGTGCTGTTTACAAATAGTTTCATCACGTGTCTTCTGCATAGCGGGCGGGTTTAAATTGTCTGTTAGAGTCAAACTGATATTTTTGCTTGCTTAATTTTAAAAAATGTTTTAAATTTTTTTCCATCGCAAGTGGTGCGGAGCCTCTGTTTGAAAGTAAAGGCAGTTTTCAATACACTGAACTTGAGTACGCACACTTTATTTGCAGTTATCTATGATGCCAACGCGTACTATGCAAAATGCTGAAATATTCAGTCCAGTTTGAACTGAGAGAAGCTAATTGGTCTCAATAAATTTCCTTTCAAATTCAATTAAATCTTACGAAGCGGTAGCTAATCCGACAATTCTTGAGCAAACACCCGACAAGCGAAGCAGACATAAAATCGACATTTCTCTGCAGAAAAAAATGTTGTCCTGCATTTTTTTCTAACTGAATCATGAAATCATTTTCTCCAACCTGCTCTTTCACCACCAATAGACTTAAGCTAGATCTACCAAATTTTGCGTATACATGTCTCGATTTGTCTTGAAGAAAACTTACGAAGCAAAACAGCCGATAATTCTTTTCATAAAAATTTTGTTCAAGGAACTTGGTTTAAAATTTGTTTTGCTCATCGCAAAAGGAACTTATTTTGCTGATCAAACAACGCAATATGAGGCCACAGCCATTTTAGTGCGAAGCAAAAACTTCTAAACCGAATAAAAAAATTGATATTATATCGAATCGTAGAGGGTAATTTTGAAAACATAAAAAGCAAATTCCGAATATAACGTGTATTCAAAATGCGACATGCTCAAAATATTTCCGTTAGTTGACAAAAAAGCAGATTTGAGAAATTGAATAAGTGATTCGTTTAGCTAATTTGCTGGAAAGAGAAAAGTAAGTTCGAATAGATAATACTAACAATTCACGAGCGTATTAATGGCATGCGTAAGAAAAGCTCTGCTGTGCCTCTGCGATCAAAATCTGATTTAATTTTCTAAAAAAAAAATAAGCTGTATTAATTGAGTATTTAACCAATTTGAAGCAAACAGAAAAACAAGCCCTAGTCAAGATACTGATTCGAGTTTTGCAAACGTAGAGTACCGTTTTATTGGCGAGCTCCACATTTCTGAGGAATTGGCGTGTATGTCTATTTTTTGGCCTTCTCAAATTATGTCTTTGTCATGAGGTGACCTTCAGTTGTCATTAGGTGACCTTGTCATGAGTTGACAAAACTACAGTTTTGGGAAATTGATTAAGTGGTTCTTTTAGCTGAGTTGCTGGAAACAAAAAAGTAAGTTCCGAATAGATAATACTTACAATTCGCGAGCGTAATAAAGGCATGTGTAATAAGTGTATGCAAATTATTTGACCAATTAAAAACACTTTTAAAGAATCAAAGAATCTTTTTGGATTTTTTTAATTGTTCAAAAAATTGCAATCGAAGTTTTTCCGTTTTGTAGGCGATTTCAAATAATTTCTTTGCTTGTCTTTTGAGTACTTAAGTGCAGTGCACATATTCTTATCGAATTTTCAGCTACTTATCAGTGTAAAAGAACGAAATGGTTTTTATTTGGTATAGATCGTGCGGATTTTTCAGAAAAGTTGTTCTAAAATGATCTAAAAACTAAAAAAAGCTGATCATTTTGAAATATTTTTGAGTTCAATTCAAGTTAATTTGCTAGAAAATAAGGCAAATTGAGCTCTCCAATTAGAAAAGCGCATATGACGCGAAAAATTGTGATCGATTTCTAGTATCTTTGGCCTAAATATTTTCGGCTTTTTCATTTGGAATTACTTCAAAACCGGAACTAAGATTTTACGTAATGGAACCTGATCTAAACTACATTTTATGATTGGATAAATTAGATAATTTACCACTGTAAAGTATTTAATATTAACCAATCATCATCCATCTAACTAACAACCCACTTATTTGTAAGTGCTGAAATTACTTGTAATTTCAGCACCAGAGAGATTTGAATTTAACTTAGACATTAGTTGCCTCTCCAAGAGAACTTCAGCAGCCGCAATAAACCAGTATACCCTAGATCTATTGAGCCTAGCAGAGACTAGTTAAACAACCTGAGACTAGATAGTATAAGAGTAAGATTAGGATCGGTATTAGACTAAGAAGTTGCACGAATCTATCCGGCCGAAAATAAGATAGCGTGACGAGCAGACGGTGTACCCTATCCGAAATTACTCTATGAGTTAACCACATCGGTCATAACTCATCTGGTGCGACCATAAGTCTCGAACAAGACCTTAATAGCTTAGAATTAACCAAAAATAGATTAAAATTTAGACAAAACATTTTCAAAATGTTATACGACGATAATTTAATCGAAATTTCTCTACGACTCAATAGATCAGAGCCAATATTCCGAACGATAATAGAACTACCCGGAATTGGAAGAAGACCTCGAACCAGAGACGACATACGACAAAGTAGAAACTTACCAAATAGTTATATGATAGTACGGCAAAAGCCAACACAAACTTTTATATTTAGAATGTTATTAGCAATGAATTTAGATTTTCATTTACAAACATAAAATCTTGAAGTCAATCTTCATGATCATTTCAGGCGCTAAACAAAATTATTAATATACAATAAAGATTGATAAAAAGATCTCAGATCGTTTTCCTAAATTCTGCAGTATTATATAAAACATGTTTGGAAAATATTTATTGAAAATCAAAACAAAAATTAGTAGCATGACAATAAATTGTTAGTAATCATAAAATCATCTGTAGTTCCAGCTTCATCACCTAAACATAACAGCAATCATAAGCTCACTAAACATCAAAAACTAAAATTTTTAAACAATTTAAACCATTTTAAACTTAAATTCACTTAATTTTAAAATCAGATCATCAAGGCTTAACCTTGGATCTACGTTAATTTTCCTATTTCATTAAATTTAAAACTTGATCATCAAGGCCTATCCTTGGATCAAAAAGAACAATTTTGTTCTCCCCCACCCAATTAGCTAGTGTCTAACGACCTCAAACGTCGATTCACTATCCAACCCTTTCAAAAAACCCAAGACTAATAGAAATTTTTGAACAAAACTAATCATTCAAATTAGGATAAACAGTGAAGAACTTCGGTTATTCATCCTTCACTTGAACCCTCCTCTTACCAGACCCAGGATAAACCTTAGACTTAGTAAGTTTAAAATACTATCTAACGAACTACTCGCGTTCTAATTATACCTGAACCTTGTGGATCGATTTACTATTCTCCAACCCTTGAACACAATCACTACCCCTAAGTAAGATTAAGTAAGTTAACACCTTAGCTTATACTAGCCACGAGAAAGTAAAAAATCATTCTTCGGAATCGATATACTTTTCTCTCCAACCCTGAATAAAAAGACCCAGGTTAAGCTAACCAAAAAATCGTAAGGACTAACAGTCTAAGAAATAGAAATCACCTAACAACTTTTTGCATCCGTCATCCTAAACCTTATGTCATTTAAAAACCTAGGAAACAAACAAACAATCGTTTTACACAACTGTGAAATAGACAACAAAAAATACGACCTTGTAATCACACCTCATACACAAACAGTTGGATATATTAGAACAAAACGACAAACACTAAAAAGGAAAATAATAACCAAACAAAGACAAATTACACGAAAAAGATTTTCAAAAAATAGAAACGCATTTTCAGAATCAGAAGCCAGCAATTTAGACGAACTTTATTAATTAAAAGAATCTATTGATAAAAATTGCCCCATTCACGATCAATTATATTTTTCCGACTCAGAAACAACTTCAAATTCATCAAAAAGAGGAAAAAGAAGAATAAAAAAGCAATATAAACACAAACCAGTACACTTGTATAATTGGAATCAACCAATTAGACACATCGATAATTACCTATTAACAGTCATTAAACGAAAAAAAGAGCCAAACACACACTCCAAGTGAAGATAGTCCAGATGACGACGATATCTACCCCTTCCTCGTAGATGCACCCGATAATAGAGGACAACACGATCTTTGCAAGAATTTCCTCCTAAATTTGTTTGAACCCGGAATCAGCCCATGTAAAGCAGAGTTCCCAGATGTAAAAATAAAAAGACAAATTATTGATCACTATCTGAAAGATATATGTTATTTAACACAACAATACGGAATCTACACCATAGAATTCAGCACACCAAACCCGAATCACCGCAAATATGTAATTCAAACATACGATCTTGACTTAGAATTTTCAAAAGTATTCTTAGAATATATAAAAAGCATACAATATCATAACTCACAAAGAGCAAACTCCATATTTACTAATGAAGTTTTTGCAATAATATATAGTTATATTTCAATATTAGAAAACGAAACCCCAATCCCAAATATCTCACCGAC